GCAATCTTTTAAAGATATTAATTAAAGTCAGTTTTGCATGATAAAATTATAGATATTAAAAATGAAACATTTCTTCATTTGAACAATGTTTAATCTAAATATTAAGTGACAGCCAACTTCGGATTTTATCATTGACATGACATCAGAGGAATTGTGGCAGACAATATTCAGTTTAAAATTTTGGAATTCAAAAATTGCACACATACAGTTTGTTTAGCAAAATCATGTCTAACTCCCAAGATCCACAAATCTTCAAAATTTAGCTTACAGCTGCTAGAAATTTGTATCTAGTATCAAAGAAAAATAGAAAAATTGTCTAGAATATATATATATTCTTAAGGTGCCACCAAATATTATTGACTATTCTCTACATCTAGAATATCAGATATTAAGGAAACACAATCATGCTATTTTTTTTCTGATTTGCATGTGATATGAAGAAAGAGGGAAAAAAACTTTATTAGATCTGTCAAAGATACAATTCATCTACCATTCTGTTTTTATATGGATAGTCCAATGTCACTAAGAAGGCCACATCAGAAGCAAGAAAAAGACTAAAGTTTGACCCTACCAAACTACCTTGTTATTTACAGATAGTATACCTCTAGCTTATCATTATAACAAAGCATATTTTTAGCAGTTATTCTGGCAAAGAGCACCTTAAACCATTTAAACCATTGATAATTATAGTCTTAAGATAATATGACACAACATTCATGTTTAATTCATTGCCTAAGAATAGTGATGTGCAGCTATTTGGATATGAATCACCTTTTCTACTTTGGATCTGAATAACTACATACTGTATTCCTATTAAAGAGAAAACATTCTATTTTTCTTGAATGTAACAAAATTGTTGCAAGATAGTGCTTGTTTAGATGCATATCTTCTGTTTTTATTAGCTCTTCTATTTGATATTTTAATTTGTAGGCCAATCTGAAATCCATTCTAATAAACTAAAGCACTTTTAAAAAGCATTTAAAAATTAACTTTATAGATATGTTATAACAACATAGATGTGTCTAACGCTTTCATTTTTTGTATGGTTTAAATTCTACTCTAGTACTAATTTTTGTATATATCTGCCCCAGATATATCTTTCTTTACTGAAGACTGTAGAGGTCATAAGGATAATTTAGTTTATTTTAAAAGGATGAAATAAAATAACCATAGCTCAGCAATTTATAATCAGTCAAAAAAGGTGGAAAAGCTAGTTTGTTGTAGTGGTTAAGACATTAGGCTAGAAATGAGGAAACTACGAGTTCTGGTCCCATCTTTCCCACAAATCCAACTGAGTGGCTTTGGGCCAGTCACTTTCTCTGAGCCCTAGAAAGAGACAATGGCAAATCACTTCTGAAAACCCTTTCCAAGTAAACTGCAAGGTCTTGCCCAGGCAATGCCCAAACATTTGACATGATGAAATGGGGGGGAAAAGTAGAATAAATTTTAACAGGCACCCAATAACCAGAAATTCAATTGAGATGAATTATGCAAATTTAACTAGACCTAATTAGTTAATTTAAATTAATCTAGCCTTAAAAATAACAATTAATTCAATGTGTGCATTTCTGGTCTGAGATATATATTTTTAACCACAGTACATTAATCTGTCTGTAACATAGGAATGTGGATAGCTGTTTTTGAAAAAGGAAAAAACCTTGGAAATGCTTAATATATTTCTCTTAATTTACCCTGTTTCTCCAACAATATGGCCTCCCCCAATAGGAAGTCCCAGCATGTTTTATAGGCATGAAATGAAATTAAGCCCCTCCCCCCTATATAAGGCCTATATTAAAACATGCGAAATGGGGGGGGGGGATGGTGTGGGGGCTTGCCGTTAGGAAGTACTTTTGTTGCACACCCGGATATGGTGCTGCCTGCGTTGACCCCAATATGAAGTGCCCCACCAACGCCGAGGTCAACATCCAAGCCATCGCTGCCCGCCCACCCAAAGATGCAAGGGGGGGAGGGAATTAAGTCACCCCCGAAAAGACGACCTAGCCATTTTTTCGGGGCTCAAAAAAAAATAAGACCTGGCCTTATTATATGAGAAACACGGTAGTAAGTAAATACAAAAAAAAAATAGGAACACAATTAACCTCCAAAATTGTGAGGATTCAAAATAATTAAAAAATAATTGTTTTCTGGTTTTATTTTTTTAACAAAGAAATTACCTTAAAAAAAGAAACAAAAAATAAATGCAAAAAGTAAAATACAAACTGAGAAGAAAAAGAAAAAAATATCTTATACAGTATTTTATACTTACCAACAGCCACTAGTTTACCAATGAATTTACTACCATAATATGAACAGTACAAACTATTATTGTAAGATATCACAGAATCTTTGCAGTAACAATATTACTGTACCCTCATAAAACAATATTACTGCACCCTTTCTAATTCAAAAGAGAGAGGTCACAAATTTCTGACAATCATTCCTTGACAATTATATAACATTATTAATTTATTAATATAATTATTAATTTATTATAATTTATTATAATTTATTAATATAGTGCTTTTTGCCATCCTCCAAAATAACTCAGTGTTGAGTTCTCCAATCATTTAACTTGCTAATGAAAAATTATGTCATCACGTTCTTATGCTATTTCATAAAATCAGTATTATCTTGGTTCATAAAACCCAATATTATGCAACTTATGTATATTAATCTTATGAAAGTTTTCTTTCTCATTTAAAGGTCCACCTGACAGAATCCCACCACCAACAAGACCCTTACCGACAGTACCTCCACATCGTTCTGTCCCTCCAGCTGATCCCAGGAAGAATGACAGGGCTAAAGCTCCTCGGCCACCCACAGGGGATAAGCCCTCCTACCCTGGTGTCAAACCCAACATCTGTGATGGAAATTTCAATACTCTAGCCATTCTCCGCCATGAAATGTTTGTTTTTAAGGTAGGTGGCCACTCTTTTTTTTTTTTTAATTTTTAGAGCGAGAGAATGTATCTTCTCTTTTTCAAAAGCTAGCTCTCATTCAGCCTGATTGTGCTTCTGAGCTTTCTTGCTTTTTCCAAGTTCAAGAAAGACATCTGAATGGTTTATATGCTTATCAGAGAAAAGGCCTGAATGTTCTATTTTGAGGAATGAATTAATGTCAGCAGGAAGTTGCAATGCTTCATAAATGTAATGGTAAGTAAATACTGAATGTTATGGGAAGATTAAAAAAAGGCATAATTCAAGTCATGAATAGAAGCTAATAGGGATGATTTGGTTGGAAATTTAGCCATTTCCACGCTCATTGCTATTATTGTGTTTTCTGCATAAGGACCCTGTAATTTAAATTTATAATTAGATCAGACACTTTATAAAAGATATTTGTCATTGTGTTGTGGTTGCCTTGATACATTCTGAGTGGAGGCCAGTGTTAAAAGAAAGACTTTGCAGGTGTTTGAAGGCTTTTTGTTATTGATATTTGTGGGTTGGTTCAATTTTTGTTTGAAGATGTGTCTGTATGGCACTTTGATTTTAAATAGGCCAGTCAATATTCAAAGACAATCAAAGCAAATCGATTGACTGGACCACAATAATGATCTGGCACATTTTCTTGAATGATTTCCAAAATACAACAGGGCCATAATTTTAAATGATTTTTATGGGATGTTTTGGTACAAGTTTTCAAAATTAAACAGAGAATATTAAATGACATTCTATTAGCTTCCCAACACATATTCTAATTTTATATTTTCTTGAACTAGCTGTGATTCAAAAAAAATATTATGTGACTATTTAAATAAATGCACTTCTAGCATACACAGAGTCTTTTCATTTTTCTTAGAAAATATATTTATAGAAACAGTATTTAAGGATTAATAGTGTTCTACTGGTGTCCTCAGTGTTATGTATAACTGTTGCAGGGGTGAGATTCAAATTTTTTAACAACCGGTTCTGTGGGCGTGGCTTAGTTGGTGGGCATGGCTTGGTAGTCATGTTATTGGCTGGGCGTGGCCAATTCAATATCACTCACATTGAGGCACGCATCTCCTCGCCTGGACTCTCATGACTGTGGGGATGCTGCAACAGTCGTAAGTGTGAAAAATGGTCATAAGTCACTTTTTTCAGTGCCATTGTAACTTAGAATGGTCACTCCACACAAGCAAAGTACCAGCAAAGGAGGGGAAAAAAAAACTCCAGAGATGTTCCTGAGACAGGAAGTCTAGTCCTGCCAAGAATGTAATAAGGGTTAACAAGAGAGGCAGTTTCTGTAAGCAACACCAGAATGTTTCCTTCCTGCTTTCCTTACAGGATTAGGCCAGTAATTTCTTCTAACAACTGGTTCTCTGAACTGCTTAGAATGTTACGAACTGGTTCTAGCAAATAGGTGCGAACTGGTAGAATCCCACCCCTGATCTGCTGTCCTCAGAACTGTACAAAGATCAAGATCACTCAAAAATATCAACCTTGGATTAAGCTCTAATGCATAGAATACAATTGATTCAATATGAGATGTTTCTGTGACTTCGTAATTGAATTACATTTCCTATAGAAAAGACAATGTATACAAGGGACATGCATGAAAATTACATCTAAAATACAATGAACAGATTGATAGATAGTAGAATTTTATTGACATTCATTGGAACTCTCAGCATGCAAACAAATGATAAGTTGGATCCACAAATTATACTGACATTTCTTCAATGTAATGTATTTCTGTTGGGCTTTGTCCTCCTTCCACATGTCAATACAATCTCAAAAACAGCCCTCATTCCCCAGAGGTCCTAAGGCAACTACCCTCAGCAGAAGGAAGATCTGCCTGAAGGCAGAGGGTGCTAAGAATCTCCAGGTTAAATCAGGCTGCCTTTGGACATAGGAACAGTCAACATTCAAACAATGAAATGGATGATTGACTAAAAGAACTACTGATTGAACTCAACAATATGCATTGGAGTATCATTGGATTATGTAAAACACAATGAAAAGGCAAAAATTTAGTTGGACTTGAAAGGACTGGCCATTTACTCCATGCTGAGGTACCAAAGATGGATGATGGGGCGGATTTGGTTTTCTCAGCAACCAAAAGCTGAAAAACTCTGTAATAAAATTTGTAAGTATGTAAGACAGAGTAGCTCAATGCATCATTCAATTGAACAAACAATACAAACTTCAAATCATCCACATGCGCCAACAATAAGCTATAGTGATGACAAGTTCAAAGAGTTTTACGATGATGTGGCCCGCCTTCAAGACAGAGCAAAATGCCAATACAAAATACTAATAGGTGACTTTAATGCAATAATAGGAAGAACAATACCTGGATAAAAATCGACTTGCCCGTTTGGAGATGGTGAACAAGATAATATAATCAACAAACTAGTAGATTTGTTAAAGGACAGAAATCTTATATCATGAACTCATTTTACAAGAAAAAAGCTAGCAGAAAATGGACATGGAAGAGTCCATCTGGGTACACCGGAAAAAATGACTACATCATGTCAATTTCATAAAATGATATTCTGTAATTGTACTATCATCAATCATTTTAATGTTGGAAGTGACCATAAAATGGTACAGGTTAAAGTGAAGATACTGTTGAAAAGAGCATATGAAAATAATAAAGACATCATGAAAAACAAAAATAAACAGCGATAAGCTGTTAGAGGGGAACAGCGATTTTGAAATTAATCTGTCAAATTGCTTTGCTCTGTTGCAACTTTTGAAAGAGAAGAACATGAGGGACAAAAATGAACAAATAATCAAAAACATCATTGAATCTACTACATCTATAAACCCACCAGAAAAACACTTTTACAGCCAAAAATCTCTGATGAAACTATAGATTTAATGAAAAAAAAACCCAGACAATGAAGAATAATGGAAGTCTCACTAATAAACTGGACTACATTGAACTATGCAAGGCCATAAGAAAATGTATCCAAGAAGAAATCACCAGTTTAACATGAAGCTTGTGGAAGGGATTAATGGAGCAAAATGCAAGCTTATAAATATAAGAAAGAAGATTTTTGTATTAAAATATAAAGATGTTCTGTATGTAGAACAAGGTAGGAAATGTTAGAAATAATTGAAAAATTCTGTTCAGAGCTATAAAAAGATCAAGATTACTCAAAAGTAACAACACCCACAAAAGAAGAAATGCAGATGTCCTAGTAGAGAAAGTGTCAAGTTTCATTGCCACAAAATCAATGAAAAATGGCAAAGCTTCAGGAAATGACTCTGTTATGGTTGAAATGCTGAAAGCTGGCAGTCACTGTTTATACAAGATACTAGCAAAAGTATACTCAAAATACCTCAGAGAAGAAAAAAAAAATACCCAAATGCATGGAAAATGCTGAAATGATTTTTATACACAAAAATGGGGCTCAAGATGATTTAAAGAATTATCACCCAATAAGCATTATTTCAGTCATCTACAAGGTTTTCACCAAGATAATAGCAAAAAGATTATTGAGAACATTAAATGTTGCACAGCCAAAGGAGCATGCAGGGTTCAGAAGTGGCTACAGCACAATGGATCACATCCAGGTTGTTCAGCAAATCATTGAAAGGTACAACGAGTATACCATGCCTCTGTGCATGGTTTTCATTGACAACGAAAAGGTGTTTGACTCAGTATTCCAGCAAACAATCATTAAGGAATTGCTTAACCAAGATGTAGACAGTGCTTACATAAACTTACCACAATCAATAGATAAAAGAAACAGTGGCAACAATTTGCCTTAATGATCTTAAAGTAGAAATCAACATAGAACAAGGTGTATGACAAGGCAATACAACATCACCTATCCTTTTCTCAGCCTTCCTTGAAGAAGTATTTTGCAAACTAGAGTGGGCAAAACATAGAATAAAATCAATGGTGCTTATTTAAATCATTTAAGATTTGTAAACAATGTTCTCTTCTCACAAAACCCAAAAGAGCTACAGAGACACATACAAGAGCTGCACAAACCAGGAGAACCATGTGGCTTAAAAATAAACTTGAAAAAGAGCCAGGTTATAAATTCACCAAAGAAAGAAAAAAATATTATACCTGGAGAAGAACTAGACATAGTAGACACCTACATATATTTTGGTCAACGGATCTCAATGGAAGGTGGTACAATAAAGAAAACTGAATGGCGTATTAAATGTGGTTGCAGGCATTTGGCAAGCTAAGTATAATTTTCAAGAACAACCTCCCCCTTATGCCTGAAAAGTTTTTGATCAGTTTATGCTATCTGGTCTAACATATGCTGGTGAAACACGGACACTAACCTCACAATCAATACAAAAACTACGAGTGGTGCAAAGAGCCATGGAAAGATACATGCTCGGCATTACAAGACAAGGTAGAAAGATCTGCACATGATTAGAGAACAAATAAAAGTATATTTATCATCAAGAGAGTAAAAGAACTGAAATGGAAAAGGGCTAGTCACAAGGCAAGAAGAACTGATGGCAGGTGGACCAAGGCAGTCATAGAATTGATCCCCCCTGATAAAAAGCATCCATGAAAGAAATATAAAACAAGATGGAATACATTGACGAGTAGAATTTTCAAAATGAAAGACCGTTGTGCAGCTTATGTAATAGATGGTCTCTGTCTTATCAGATAACTGATTCGAAACTACCTGGTGATGCCAGGAAATAAATTAATACAGGGAATTGTGGGAAATTAAAAGATTTTCCTCCCCCACTGATCAATAGAAGAGAGGTCACACTTATGAGAGGTTCATAATATTGATTATGCCAGTGTAAAACTTCAGACTTTTCAGATATGACATATTAATTGGTCATGATAGACTTGCTACACAAAAGTACCTCAAACCACTCCAATAAAAGTAGTCCAGGAGACCAAGTAACTTGACATTTAATAAATTGAAATAACTGAACATTATTTAAGAATACTACTTAGTAGAATGCATAACTTTCCCTGATAACAAAATAAGTAGATTCTAGGT